GAGAAATTTTTTATATGTAAATGGAAAAGCAAATAGAGTGACTATAGAGAAGTGTGACTATAAATGGATGTAATTATAGAGAGATTTGACTATACTAATTTGTAGCTCTAAGTAAAAGCTACAATTTTAATAATACTATTTAGTAAAAATTAAATATTTACTTAGTGATAACTAAATTATTTTTATTTTTATGATTATTAAATTTTAGTATAAATTCTATATATTTCTTTAAATAATCATTATTAATAGCAACTATAGTTAAATATCTCTATAGTTATCATTTTTGAAAAAACAAAATTTGATAACTATAAAGAAAATGTGATTATAAAGAGATTTTTTTATTATATTTATATATAAATAGAAAAGCAAAATAAAATATTATAAAGAGATATAACTATAAATAAATATAACTATAAAGAAATTTAACTGTATTTTATATCAAATTATAGTTCTTATTTTTAATTATAACTTTACTTATTTCTTAAACTGTTCAATAAGTAAATTTGCCTGCTAAATTTTTTTAGCTTATTTTTGTACATTTACTTCTAATTTTTATAGGCTTAATTATCTCTTTTTCTAAGTTAAAATAAAAATATAGCATATTTTTAATTAATATAATATAAAATTTGTAATTTTAATTTACAATTGCTCAAAATATTTGATTAATTTTTTAATTAATTCTGTAATTTTATTATAAAATAATTTTAAAATTTAAGATTAATAATAAAAATTTTTTAAAATTGCTTATTTTTAATTTACAGATAACTATAATTTTTTATAATTATTAAAAAAGTGAAAATAACTATAATTAAATCTCTATAATTACACTTATTTATAGTCATATTTCTCTATAATCACTCTATTTTGCTTTTCCATTTATATATAAACATAATAAAAAAACTTCTTTATAGTCATTTAATTTTACTTTTCTAAGGATGATGACTATAGAGAAATTTGATTATATAATATTTTTTAATTTTTGATAAAAAATATATTAAATATAAATTTATAGAATTTTAGCAGACAAATTTGCCTGCTAAACCTGATGGTTTAAGAAATAATTACTTAATACTAAAAAAAATCAAATTAAACAATAATAAAGTAATTATAACAAAGATATGTAATTTAATTAACAATGTGGCGCAGTTTTATTATGTTTATAAAAGGATGTTTATAAAGAGTAAAAATGTTTATCAGAGATCGCGATGATGTATTCGTATATTTTATACAAGCTCTCAATTATGAAATCCGATTTGGATAGAATTTTTTGATTGAAAATTAAATTTTAACTATTTATACAAAATTTACATTATTTCACCTTCACTCATACAACAATTAGCCCAACGAAACTAAAGATGGCAAATATTTAATTTCTCTGAAATATATAAATTTTGCCTCCGTGTTTGTTTTTCTTTCCATCATAACTATATAATCTTTCCCTTCACCTGTTCTCTCTTTCCGATAGCAAGCAAATCTTGATTTATGGTGGATCCTTTGGGCTTCCACAAAATTTTTTGTATATTGCTCTTTGCAATTTTCAATTTTTGGTGCTGGTATTTATATAGATGAATAAAATTTTCATGTATTATTATTATTTGTTTTAGATTCTATTTCTGATATTGTTTCGAATGTATGATTATGAGGGATGTTTAATGAACTAGTGGTACGACTAATACTACTATTTTTACTTGTACCAGCTTCCTCCCCTGCTGTTGTTTCTTCTGTTAATTCAGCCGAGGGAGACGATAATGATGGATTGATAGTAGAAGGAGACTGAGTAATAACTTTTGCTGACGTCTGAGTAGCTGTCTTTTCCACCTTTACTAACTTCAATTTCACCGTTGCAGCTTTTATTTGCGATCTAATCACATCTATTACAACGTTTGATAATGTTGACACATGCTCCTTCACTGATTCCGGCGCATATTTTAGATATAGTTGGCGTGTTTCTTTGCCTGTAGCCACCAATCTCCGTAAGATTTGCCGACATATTACAAACCACATAGTCACGCTTACAGATCCTTTGATTTTAAAGTAAATTTGAGTGAGATCATTTTTTATGACAGACGAAAGATCGAAACGAAAAAAAAGAAAAATCACGAATCAAAGAAAATAATAACACGGGATTTTTTGATCAAACCTGATGGCGCAAATGGAACCGAAAACATCCATGTTACAGGACTAAACCAGCCTCGTGGCAAATAAAACACAGGTGACGTTCGATAGAAAATCATCATTGAAACTTCAACTCCACTCGTAGATAACCATAAGAAAGTTGTGAATCTCACTTCAAATGAAGATTTTAGAAATCCCAGAGATCTTGCTAAGAATCGAGTACAATAGGTAATAGTAGTGGTAATAGAGGATTTAGTTGCACGAAGAATATTTAACTATCTTAAGATAATGAATCGAAAAGTAAAATAGATGTATATTTACATAACTTCTCCAGTTCATTCATTTTACTATCCATTCCTCGTCGCAATTTAGCCCATTTAGCAAATTGATCCTATTCGAATACGATTAAAAATGCAAAAAAAATAAATACACTCGAAATTGCATGTCTATCTGCGCGTCTAGTGGTATTACGTATTACCTGTGAACTAGTCCTTCCCAAATCATGTTTAATGGCTAGAATCTCCCTTTTGACACGCCTCTGCTTTTCAACCAGTTCTTTTTTGAAATGAGCCAAATACACGCCATATGCCTAACACATAAATATCAGGTATCGTCAGTGGCTTTGGTTCGTGTACAACTTAGAACTTACGATAACGTTTTTTACTTTCAGTCTTTCTTCCTTCTGATCAAAAGTTTACATACCAAACTCGCGATTTGCGAGTAACCAACCCAAAGAATCATTTCTGTAAACAGTACAATACATAGTATCGACAACGCTAAGCCCATTTTTATTTTTTAATATATAAAGTAATGTACAAATTCTCGCGTCGCAAAAGAAAGTTTTTTTTTTTGAAATAAAGTATTATACAAATGTATTATCGTTATCCAAATGGAAATTAGAGTTTACGTGAACACAAATTAACAAACAAAAAATTTTACTTTGTTTCGGTAATCTTATGATAGATCAATGACCAATTGTATGTAAAGAAAAAAGCACAACTCATATTACCATAATCACATGCAAAAAACTCTTATTACATATTTCGTATTTCGTTCAAACGCAAATAATCTAACTTAAAAGGTTATCTCCGCCTTGAACTTTTGTAACTATCTCGGTCCCGCCTAGATTCGCTATTATGGTGATCTTTGCGTGTATACCTGCTACTACTACTGCTATTATTACTATCAACATCGTCTCTATTCAAATGACGTTCGCGTTCTCTCTGATAACTGCTGCTGTTATTTTGTGTGAATACTTCACTTATTCTTCCACTCTTTTGTGCACGTTTCTTTTTTTCTTCTTCGAATGCCTGTTGTTTACGCGCTAAAGGATCAATTACAATAAAATCATCTGGATCATCTCTTCGTTGCATGAGATCTTTGCCTCTGTGATCTTTTTCAAACACCAATTGATGAGATAACCATCCTTCATCCGTCAAGTCATTCTGCGATTGACCAAATGTATCACGACATGACTGACAATTTGGCACTGAATGTAAAGTACACGGTTCATCATCATTTTCCTTCAATTTTTCTTGATCTACCAAAGGTTTTTCTGGTGGTGCAGTATCGATTTTATGTTGAAATGCTCGGAGCTTCGCCAATGTCTATATAATAAATAAAAGGATTTTAGTACGTTAATAAAGAAATGATCATTTTTTTATATAAATACTAACATCCTCTTCGGATCCTTTTTTCCTTTGAGCCATTGCTGCCTTCCCAGATTTTAGATATCTTCTTCGTTCAGTTTCCAAGAAATTCGATTCCAATTTCGTTTTCTTTTTGGGTCGATCCTCTTGAGAACTATCATCTGCATCTTTGGATTTATTTAAATTTTTTATATCTTGGGTAACTTGTTTGATTTCTTTACGAATTATTTCACTAAAAAATAGTTGAATGTTAGATTTATCGACAAATCTATAAAGAAGAGACCAAAAAATCCTCTATACTAACGATTTAGATAGATGTTGGTTTTTGTCTTTAGGCGTAGATTCTTTTTGCATATTTTCAACCATTTGTTTAACATTTGCCTTCATTTTTCTGTCGAAATCCTCGGGACTCTCGTCATCATTATCTTCTATCATCCCGTGAATCCTTTTCTTTGTTGTTTCCAACTTTGTGATTATAATTAATAAAAAATAGTGAATTTTTTTGATATTAATTTGCAGAAATTCACAAGATAAAAAAGAATCTTTCTTACTATGTCCGATTTTTGTGTTCCCTTTTGAGTTATTTCAGACACGTTTACAGCAAGCTCTTTACTGAGCCGCGGATCATCATCTATTAAGTCATGGCTGCTTTTTATTTTTAGATTAAGATCACTGGTGCTATCAATTTCAGTTGCCTCATCTCCAAATGACAATAACGCGACATTTCTACATAAAAATTAATAACAATAAATAATGGAATTAACCGTAATTAATCAAAAATTATTTAGTCAATCTGCTCACTTTTTCGTCCTTTTTTTCTTTACAGGTTCTTTAGATTCTATTTCCTCTTGAACCTGTTTTTCCCTTAACGAAACTCGTGGAATAATATCATCAAATGGATTGGCAAGCACTTCTGTGGACACGATTGACGGTGGATAAAACGGACGTTCATCCGCATCGACTTCAAGTTCACCGATTTTCAACACGTTGAAAATCGTATCACCGACAACTTTTCCGAAGATGGTATGCTTATTTTGCAATTCTTCTGTCGCGTTTAAAGTGATAAAAAATTGACTTCGATTATCATTTTTCCCTGCGTTAGCCATCGCTACAAGACCTCTACGTACGAATCGAAGCCGCGTGTGAAATTCGTCGGGAAAAGGTGCATCATAAACAGATTCGCCACCTTTTTAATAAAGATGAAAAAACCTATCAAACTAAGCTAATACGTTTCAACGCTTAAATTTAATACATTCTTATGGGAGAATACAAAAATAATCTACCTTCTCCAGTGCCAGTAGGATCACCACCCTGAATTATAAACTGTGGAACTACCCTTGTTATGGTAGCAAAATTTCTTGAGAAAATGATTTCCACAATAATCCCCCAAACTGTAATCTTACCTATGAAAAATGGTCCGCGCATAGTATCCCTCTAAGCATAATTGAATGAAATTACGCGCCGCCTTGGGCGCTTCTTTTGACCAAAGTTCAATGTCAATGTCACCAGCTGTTGTATGAAGTGCAACTTTTCCACTAAGAAAATAGATTCAAATCCAAGTAGGGCAAATTAGATCAAAACGAAAGTAAGAGATAGTTTAAATAGGAAAACCAATTTACCTTGTTGGTGGTTCTTGAATGTAGAGATTTGACATTTTTAAATAAGTAATATACAGAAGATAGGCAGGTTACCAGATAACGAAGTCACGTGTTAATTACTGCCTAATATTCTCTTGATATCTAAATTCGTTGATCAAGATATCTTCCCAGGTAGAATGCAAGATACTTGACATTTGAAGAATGCCAGAATTAATAAATGCTAACCCGACAATATACAAACCTTCCAGGTCCTCTCATCGCACAGCGACAAAAGAAGAAGTAAATGAAGATATTGAAGATGTAATTGACTCTCAAGAAGTATTCGGTAGTTTGGCACTATAAAATTATTCTATAATATCTTCTCGTCAATTTTTGAGAACTCACAATCTCTTTCCATATATTTACGAACGTATAACATTTCAAAAAAAAGATCTAATTCGCTCAATATCAGACCCAGAACACCCGCTAACACTTGAACAGTTGAACGTCACCCAACTCGAGCACGTCGCCGTCGACGACGCGGACAACCATGTAGTCATCGAGTTCACACCGACGATTCCTCACTGTTCTATGGCCACGTTGATTGGCTTGTGTATTCGGGTGAGATTGTTGCGTAGTTTGCCGGAACGGTTTAAAGTCGATATTAGCGTGAGAAAGGGGACTCATCAATCAGAATTAGCTGGTAATGTTTATATTTATTGTGGGAAGGGAGGGTATGATTATTTTTTGATGGATTTTTGAATTTTGGTTTTTCTTTAGTTAATAAACAGCTTAACGATAAAGAGAGGGTGGCTGCCGCACTGGAGAATGCACATTTATTGGAAGTGGTCAATCAATGTTTGTCGACGGCTGTTATGCGTGGGGAAAAAAATGGAACATATTGTTGATAATGAAAATTACAATAAAATTTTCTATAAAACTAAATTTTTATTATTTCTTTTTGCTTGTTTTTTTTCTGTAAAAACAAGATAAATAATGAAATAAATTTATCAACCAAAATTGGTTTAATATTATAAATCTATCAATTGGGTAAATATTAATAATGATATCTTCTATTAAATTACGATATTAAAATTTAAAGAGTGTTAATAGTTGAAAATTAATTATTCAGTAATAAATGAAGTGCGATAAGGCGGATTGACCAAACTACTCGTGCTATATAAAAATCCAATAAAAAATTTAGTATTAGTCTCTTCACAGAAAATAAACGCCAAAAAACATCATAACGGACAACAAACCTCGCGGATTTCGCATCAATAGTGCTTAGAAAAGCTTTGACCTCTTTTGATTTAGGTTTCTTTGATTTCTTTGATGACGGACCAGTGCCCAGTGATACCATAGATTCCAGATCTGAGGTATCGTGTTCTGAAGAGTCATTTATAGGCTGTGCTACTACTTTCAGAATTAATGAATTAAAAAAACAATTAATATACGTTTTACTAGTCATTTATCATTAACAACATATAAATCAAAGAACCACATAATCATAAAGATTACCAAGTGCATCCCGTAATTGTTCGACTTTTATAATTGGTTTTTGAAACTCTGTAGAATTATCTTCAAAAGTCATGATAATAGGAGTATTCAACGGTTTGGTACTACCCATATATTGCGATACTCTTATAAGTTGCGCTTGTTTTTTCACTTGCTCAAATCCTTCTTCGGGCTTCCACTCTGCCGTTAATCTGTATTCTAGATCGGACCCTGCGGCTTTTTTTAGTTCTGGATGCTGGCATAAAATCGACACTATATATTGCCGATCAAGCCAAACATCGACTGGTTGAAATGGACCATTATTATTATTATTATTATTATCATTCATTTCGTCATCAAACGAAGTAAAGATGTTGATGTTTAATAGGGGAGTAATGTCGTTTGGGGAATATGAAAGTTGAATATAACGAGACAATTGGCACTTTTTTGTGCGTTCCTGTATCACATCTTCAATGTATTGTCGTAATTCCGCGATCCCTAAAATTTTTGAAATATCATAAAAGTAGCGTACAATGACACTTGCCATCGACCGTTGTCGAGCGAAATCTTCCAATTTCTCTTCTTTCACATCTGACTAGATATCAATTTCAAATTAATCGACAATTATGAATAATGCTTTCTTCTAGAAAAATTACACGGATAGAAGATAATAATACGATCAATGATACCTGTAATTTAAAGAGAACTGGCACGCCTATAATTATTTGATCATACTTAAAATAACTCAGTAGAGAACGAAGTATTTTAGAAATAGCAACGTGATCAGAAGGTTGCGCGCTAGGCGAAAGAGCATATTGATATAGAGACAAATGAAGCGAGTTGAGAAAATGCAATGATGGTACTTCGTGTGTGATCGGCTGAAAAAAATAACATGATCATCATCAAAATCGTTTTTTGTTTCGATTAAACATAAGTGATAAGCGAATCATTATAAATACATACGTTTTCTTTGATTTCTTCTGATTGATTATATTCCAAAAATTTAGTCAAAACGTTACTATATGCGATTCTCAGTTCTACGAATTTAATTAAATATTTTACTAAATGATCAAGTATCTAATAAATCACAGCGAATAAAAAACCTACCAAGATCGGGATCCAAACATAATACCACAGTATCTTGAAAGACTTCAATAGGGACTTGATTTCGTGATATATTTGGGAATCTCTGCACCGCTTCCCTGTTAGTTTCTATTACCATATCCAGGCATCGTATTAACATCAGACGAGCTTCTGTGGGTGAAACTTCGTCGAAAGAGTTTTGTTCGCTGTTATATTGTGGTGACGTATCACTTATTGAGTTTAGCTTCATGAATTGGATTATGCGATCCATGATGTCCTTAACTTGAGTTCCGTAATAGATGTGCGTTGCAAGTCCACCTATAGAACCAAACTCATAAGATTACATCAAAAAAAAATATCGAACATACGCATAATAATTTACTTACCTATTGACTTTATGAGCCCATTCAATATTTTACTATTCAGATTTTCATTTTCATCACTCATTTTCTCCTCTAGTTTCTCAATTGAATGTTTTTCACCAGCATTCATCTTTAAAAATTTCAACGAAAGCTCGAGTAAATCTTTGAGAACATCACCGGTCGATAGATTGTCAAGATTCAAGTCACTAGTTAAGATAAAAGACAACATTTCTATAAGAGTGACTTGTTTTGCTGTTGCTGAATTAGAGTCTTCACAAGTCGACTCCAATTGCTGTATTATATACTTCACAAGTATGGATCTATCTTTTGCCTAAAACGCAGATAAAATTATAATTAAAAAAAAATAACAAGAGATGTTTTTCTTTAATAACAACTAATTCTACCTGTAATATCGATAATATAAGCGATACCAGAGTAGTACCAAATGAGTTCGGCCACCACAAATTATTTTCTCCCAAGAAATCCAAAGTTGGTTTAACCGACCAAGCAGCATTGGCTTGATCTGACGATTTGAACACCTGTTTCAAAGAGTGAAATGCTAAACGCGTGTTCTCCTCTTTTGACACATCTTCGACATCGAGTGAGAAACGATGAGACTGCGCAGTGGAGCCTTCTTCGACAAGGGAATTTGAATCACTAAAAGTATAGCACATAAAACATTAATAATAACTAACGGTGGGTTGATAAAAAAATCAGTAATTACTTTTTTTTCATATCTTCTAAACCAATGTCTGCATCAATAAGATTATGTAAGATTGCAGGGATAATGGATTTCAACTGTTGTTCGGAATCGGACCCATATAAAGCTTTGGATGTTGCCACTCCCTGAGTAGCACGGAGACCAAATGATCGATATCTGTTTCGGGTAATTGGAAACAAAAATATGAATATTAATGTCTATATACTAGAATTTTAACAAAAAATGATAGATAAATACCTTTGCTCAAGATTAGAGTTTGTATCATGTTTATATACAGAAAACCGAGCAAACCTGTCGATTAAGCATTCATAAAGCGAAGTGAATTCAATGTCAATTCCAAGCGTAGAACCGTCATGGTATTTGCAAAAAGTGATAAACTATAGACAATCAAAAAAATTAATTTCAATGCTCCAAAAATATATATATATATATATAGTAAAACGAAGTAATCGCGTAAAAATACGCACTAAAGAGGTAGCGCGAGACACCAGATCGATATCATCCGATCTCGAGCAGTCATCGATAATCTGAAGAATATTTTGAGAGAAAAAATTGATATCTCTATTACAGTCATTCAGGAGCGCCTCGATTATCGCTAGCGAAACTTCAGTGTCTCTTTTGTGGAGAAATTAAGATAGGTTTTAAAAATATGATGGATTGATTACGCATTTAACTATCATTATCATCGTTATAATAAAACAAAAAGAATCATATAGGTATTAAAAACATACTGCTTTTTCCGCTTCCGAACATCAGCGGCCACCCTTTTTTCCAGATATGACCCGCACTTTGTAAGCTTTGCCGGCCTAGAACTTGCGTAATAGAGAAGTAAGGCTAACTCGTTTTTCTTCGGTCCTGTTTCTTCGGGTGTAGTAGGGTAGCAGCTACTTATGAGTTTGGCATGTTTAATCCAACGTTGACGCACTCCAGAACAAGTCATGTTCTCTTAGTTCCGTTTGTTATTTGTATTGATGTATTGTATCTGTATATGTATATTATATAGATATTTATAGAAAATCGCGCGTGTTCTGATTGTTACAACGGTTTCTCTAACGTCGTGGAAATTCGAAGTAACTTGTTCGCGAAAGTAACAAAAAATATTTAATGTTGCTGTTAGCACGTTGTAGAAGCATATATGAAGTATATGGCTTAGGAGGAATAAGGAAAGAATAAAGCCAAAATTAAAGGTCTATTGATATAGATACAAAAGGCAAGAATGATGTGCAACACAACAAAAATAACGTCGTTTAAAAAATTGAATGCTGGATCACAAACATGATTCGTTCAATTTCCACATATAAAAATACATTTAATCAAATGGATATATATGGTAGGTTCTACATCAACTAGTCGGAAACGCGGGATATTTCATATTTCCTTTCGTTCAAATAAATAAGATTCCATAATGAGCACACGAACCGATCACGATGCTCTAGTAGATATGGGCTTTCCGCCCCAAAAAGTGTTAGTAAAAACACGCATACAAGTTCAAACATAGGTTTATTTCAATTGTTTCTATTTCCTTTAATACAGAGCAAGGGCTTTAAAAGAAACGGGGGGACTTCAGTCAGCCATGGACTGGTTGTTTGCTCACCCGGGAGATTTGGAAGAACCAGCCCCCGCACAAGCTCTTGGAAGCGCGCAAACAGCGGCCATAAGTTCGTCTGAGGGAGGAGAGCTAGCAGCAGAGCAGGACGGTGCGTTCTCATTACTTTTTACAAGGCATATGTACGCACTTCCTTCTAGTAAATGCTAATCACACTATATCAATTTTTATCAAATAGGAGATGAAATTAACGATGGAGAACAGACTGCGCAGTCATTACAATGCGACGATTGCCAAAGACTACTGCGTGACGGTAAAATTATGATTTGATCGAATTCCTCCTTAAATTTATAATCGATGCATTTATTTTTCCCGTTCAATTGAATAGCCACTGCCGCAGAGAGACACGCTGCAAGAACAGGGCACATCAACTTCTCTGAATCAACAACGGCCATAAAACCTTTAACGGAAGAAGAGAAAGCCGCGAAACTTATCGAACTGAAACAACGACTTGCCGAAAAACGCGAGATGCGATTACTTGCCGAAAAAGAGGAGGAAAAATCTCGCGAAAAAATTCGTAGGAAATCAGGAAAGGAGTTAGTGGAGGCCAAAGAAAAATTAGAGGAAAAGGAATTGCAGAAAGCGTTGAAGGCGAAAAAGAAGGAGAAAGAAGATGAGAGAATAGCAAAGGCGAAAATAAAAGCTCAGATTGAAGCGGATAAAAAAGAGAGAGCAGCAAAGGTATTTTTTGGCTTTTAAATTACGATGATTAATTAGAGTATCTTTTTCGATGAGATAAATTGGTGTCTTATAATTCATAGCGCGAGATCGCCAAACAAGAAGCAAACCTTCAACAACAAGAAGCAGCTGCAGCAGCTTCGAGCTCAACTCCTACTGTGAAAAAAGAATATACCGAAACAAGGCTACAAGTAATTTAATCAATATAATTTTATCTTTAACATTGTTCGTAATAATACTAATAATCAAGAAAATGAGAATAGATACGTAGGCAAAATGGAGGTGCAACGATTACTCAAACATTCAAAGCAACAGATACACTTCAAGTTGTTTATGAGTATGTTGGACAGCATATTTCCGAACCGTTTAAATTAATAACGACTTTCCCCAGGTATGACGCGAACATTGATTTGCACCTATAATTAAAAAGTATTTTGAAATTTACTTAAGATCGTTATAATAAAAAAAAGGAAAGTGCTTGATCGTGATACTTTTGAGAATAAGACTCTTAAAGAACTTGGTTTGTAATTTTTGTTATTATAATTTATTCGAAAAATATAACATTCTGATATATTTTTATTTTTACTATAATTGTTATTAGATTTAGGCAAGTATCTAATATCTTCAAGTATTGGGATTCACATAAGTTGACCAGATAGTGATATATTTATGATATTTCAGTTCCATCTAGTGTTCTCGTCGCTTCTTCCATTTAATGAACTATCTCTTTCCAATTTTATAAATTGCCCACCCATATATATATATATAAATATATATAATGGAAAAATGTCTAGTACCATTATTATTAATTAATTAATATTAAAGTATTAAAGTAAAATTTAATTAAGCGTTAGTTTTCCGTCTATATATCGAAGGATTATTTTGATTTCCATTTCCACTCGATGATGATATATCTGTTGGATTATTTGCATCACCAACACCATTTCTCCCTATATCAGTACCAATCTTTCTCGCTTTTCTGATCCATTTTCTTCGACGAGTGAAGAGTTTGTTTCCTGAAATGCTTTTAAGTACAGGATTTTCCCATTGGTTGTCTGTATAAACCCATCCACCTTCATCTGGCTCCACTGATAACTCAGTTCCTTTTTCATCCTCCCATACGTTATTCATGTCGACACTCCAATCCTCTCCGGCCCATTCGTATCCTTCGTGAGGCACAATTTCCTATAATAATAAAAGCCGATATGTCAATCTTAAAATCAAATTTTTTTTTATTTTAATAATTGGGATTATTAAAGAACGCTCACATCTTTCGGTGGTAATCCAGTAGTTCCAGCCATTGATGATGACCATGGTGCTCTTTCTGAACGAAGTAATTGTGGGCCAAATCCTGTTCCAGCCCTATTTTTTAGAATTAAATATCGCCAGTTAATGAATTAATAACTGTAATTAACTAATCATTGATAATAATACTCACCACCATCGTTGATTTTCATAAACTGACACTATGATTTCATCTTGTTCAGACTCTTCTTCATCATCTTCCGACATAAAAAATTCTTTCCACTGATCCATGAAAATCTTTCCACGTTCCATAATTAAAGGACTGGACTCCTTTATCAAGGCTTTAACGAATTTATTGTTCAAAATAAACACACTCAGCCCAACCACAATAAACACTTTACGCCATGGCACAAACCATACAGTGGCGGTTAAAAGAGCCAACATTAAAACTACAATTTGTGTAATCCGTAGACTCTCTTGCTCATTGCTCCAGTCCAGATGTTTAAATAGCGGTATGACAGCATCGTATCCGTCCGACACTGTTCCCATCACATTTTGTATATTCTGCATGTTCTTTAGGTAGTCGACGGAATTTTCAGCGGGAAGCATTGGTACAGATTGCTTTGATTTTTTATTCTTATTTGATTTTTTTCGGTTCCGTATTTGATTTATTGGTCCATCAGGAAATCTTTTAGTATAAGAAGAAATCAACACAGACAATACAATGACAAGCGGCGTAAGAATAATAAGATGAGGATAGAGACCTATAAAACATGTAAATTATCGAAATTATTAGTTTCTCGCATTCAATCAAAACATAATAAATATTGTGGCAATTGACTTTCTTTACTTACATAAATAAATATAAACTACCATTGCCAACAATGTATTTGCAGAATTCTTCCACGTAACAAGATCCTCAACAGCATCTTGTAAAGCAAAAATAAATCCACACTTTTGCACAAATTTTTTAAAATTTATTGTGGTGGTTTGAAGATTCAGTGGCGGATGAGAAGAATCTGATGGCAATTTGGATTCATTGGTCATATTGATGGCCGAAGAAACAATCAAATCTTGAATCATTTTAGACCCAAAAGACACAAGCGGTTGATTCATTATTGTTGCAATAGTAGTCTTGTTGTTGTTGTTGTTGTTGTTGTTGTTACTGCTGTTGCTGTTATTGCTGTTGCTGTTATTGCTGTTGTTGTTGCTGCTACTGCTGCCGCTGCCGTTGCTGTTGCTGCTATTGTTGTATAATGAGGCTGTTGGATTATTTGCCTTGTTTTCTTGGGATGTGGCTTTGATATAATCAGGAAGCGAATCAACAGAGCTAGATCGACGTAGAATAGGTCTTGGTGGTAGGGGTGCCTTTGGCTCAGGTTTTGGTGGAGGAATTGAGTCTAAGTTTCGAAAGGATACGGTACGTGAATTTGGTAATGGTCCAGATGAATGATTTGAATTCGCGGATCTTGGTTGTGATCGAGACCGAATTTGTAATGATCCTGAAGAGGAACGCGTATTTTTAACAACACCAACACCACCACCGTATTCTGCGGTTTCGCCATTTGATCGGTCTGAATCAATTTCTCTGCTTCCCACTATTGATGATGACTCATTACTATTATTATTTTTTCGGGAATTCTTTGAAGAATTTGAGGTTTCTGGTGCGCCACAGTAAACCGAATTTTCTGAGCACTTTGTGTGGCATACGTAGCCACATACTATATATTTACAGTGAGAAGTTAATAGGATACTACGAAAACTCGACCTTATTTTTGTTCAAGTTTTTTACCTTTACAGTAGACCCCTTGCTTGACGAAGCCCCAAAGCATTTTATTACATAAATCACATTGTGTGGGTTTCGCAAAGGTCTTTTCTTCAAATTGGTGTTCTAGCATGTCGTCGCGCGTATTATATATTACTCAAGATATTCTATCCAAGTTTATTTGTACAAGTCGTTTGGTAGAGGTGAAAAAAATGGGTTTTGCGGTTAGCGGTTCGTGGTTGATATTTCCGCTGAGCTCTTTTACTTATATGCAAGAAGCCAAGCAAACACCTGAATAAGAACGCTATATAACAAAGGAAAAACGACAAAGAACCAAAAATGAATTTATCTCGAAAATTATCTTGATAACTGTGTCATTGTACTCCAATTTCCCAATTTGTGCATGTATTAGACATATAGAAGGTAATTCTTTACGGATAAACTTTGATTCATTTATTGTTAGTGACAATAAAAATGCCTGTCATCAATTTTTTTCTATTCTTTGTAGTGGATTCCTTTAATTAAAATCTCGATATAGTTTATAATGGCGATGAGAAAACAAAGTTTATGATATACACAGCGACTTCCTTTGTAGTGCATCAATAAGTTTTTTAACATTTGATCTTTTCACGAATTTGTCTTCAGCACGTGAAAAACTGAATCTTGCACCGAATAAAATTATCAGTGTTGGCCAAATGACGAAAATGGCATGTCATAAAATAACAAAAATCATAAGTTAAAAAATATATAATTATTTTTATAAGCCAAAAAAGTTTTGTCATTGCCAACACTGAATTCGTCTTCGTCTATGCCAAATTAGAAGTATTTTGGCCGAGATTGTCAAGCTATTTCGCATGCTAGTTTTGATTCATTTTACGTTGCATCTTTCGTCGTTTCCGTGATACAGATTTATGTTTACGTTTGAATTCTTGGGTTAAATTTTGTCGCGTGTTTTCCCAATTTTTTATGATTTCCTCACTGGATTTTTGTTATATATATACATATAAATATATATATATATATATACCAATAAGATTAAAAAATAAATAAATCAGAAACTAAATACGACGAATAGTTACTTACATAGGCACAGTTCTCATAAACGTATTTAATTCTCGAAAATGTGATCTATAATAATAGAAAGGATGAAGTGTTTTGGTTAATAAAATGAATATGCTAGAATGATGATTATAATCACCTTTTTTCTAATGCTTCATCCCCAAAATGGAAAAAGAATAAAGGGCCAGAGGTAGTCGCAGTAAAAGAATTATTTGCTGGTCTGGAAGAAGGATGAGATGCTGAGGTTTGTCTGATATCCTTTGTGTAAACACAATAATTAATTGGATTTAAAAGATCGATAAATTAATACATTAATTAGTTTTATTTACTTGCGAAGAAAATAGACACTTTGAATTGTCATCTATAGATTCTACCACATCTATTTCACGATCAGGATTTTTATTCCCTTCATTTTTCTCGTTATTATTTCCGAAGAGCGAAAAAGAAGACACAACTATTAAAAAAAAGAATTCAGAGTTAGATAAGACATTCCATTAAAATTTATATCTCAAGCGAACATCTTTACCATTCGATGATGCACTTGGAGCAAATATTCCTTTGAAGTCTGCGTTGATTTCAATTTTTACTTCTTTTGAGACTTGAGGTGGTGGTGGTAATATAGACGATGGCCTTGTGAATTCAATATCAGCTGAAATTAAGAGGAAAGATTTCTTATAAATTATTATTAAAATGCCATGCAAAGTATCAAGGATTTCTTATAATCTACGCGTCCCAAGATAATTATCATCAACGAAATTACTTTACACAACGTTTAAGAATGCTGAATATCATTCGTTTAAATTTTTTGTTACCATTATCGTCTTCAACACGTTTGGTTTTTTTAATCTCTTCTTCGGGAGCATCAGGATCAAAATGTATCATTTCTTTCCACAGCGTTTCATGATTTAAGCGATTGCTATAAAAATAAAATTGTTATTAATAATAAAGTGAAGTTTGTTTTCGGAACAATACATATTTTAATTAAATACGTTTTGAACTGAGATTTTTCGATCTCCATATTGTCAAACATTGTATGAAGAATGTTCATATTTTTTGATTTTTCTTCAATAAGCATTGAAGTAATATCATCTTCTTTCTTATTGTAACGATCATTTGATGATGATTGTGTTGTTTCTGGTTTTTCTTTTTCATCTCCATCATTATTCTTATCATCTTCGTCGTCATCATTCATAAATTCCCGAGTTAATTTGAAACGAGTATCCCCGTGAAACCTTTTTTGCAGATTTAAAAGTTTTCGACCAGATGATCCTTCAAAAATTTGATTAATTTCTTAAAAATGAAAAATAAAATTTTTTTTAGTATTATGCAAAAAATTTATAAATAATCAAATATGTATATTTATTTATTGATACCAATTTGGTAGGAATTGTCATCACTATCGTCATCTTCATTTGATTCATTATCGAGACTGAATAAATTCATCTTTTTCGAAGGTGACTCTTTTTGTTCGTTTTCTTCACTATCGCTGCCAGAGAACACTATATGACCTTTTTTCTTTTCCTATACACGATTACTTAGTTAATATTACTATTAAATAATTATGTGTTTGAAGAATACTTGATTTTACCTCCGAATCTCTTCGCAACGCCGCCACAATTTTAGCCTTCTTCTCACGCTCTTCAAGTCCACGTTTTTTTAGAGCTTCAAGACGAATTTTATTAGAGTGCTCCTTTTGTCGGTCAAAGGTAGTCAGTTTCAAAAAAATTGTGAATTTGACTTATTTTGCAAAGAGAAAGGCTTACTTTATGAGATAAATAATTATTATTGTTATTTTGAGTTTGATTTTTGTTACTGTTGATATTAGTAATATTACTGTTGCTATTTTGTTCTTTTTCCTTATCAATCATTAATTTACGAAGTCCGTCGATAATCGATGGTGGTGGAATCGATGAATTGCTCTCTGATTGTTTTTTTGTTGGAGATAATGAAATTGATCTTTCATCTTCATTATCATCACTTTCTTCCTCCTCTTCTTTAGTTGTAATGACGATATTGTTATAATCACCAGAACTATTGAGAACAGCAGGAATATCAAATAATTTTTTCTTTTCTCTATAAACGTCATCACAATACTTCTGTTCTGATTGATTTTCCTCTTCTCGCACTTCTTTTTCATTATCATAATACATAATTAATTCGTAAAGTGGTTTAGGCTTCACTTCATTAATATTATTGAAAATCTTTCGATGGTTTTTTTGGTATTTCGAAGGATCTATAGTGACCTTATATGAAATTATGATTAATACATAAATTTATAAACAATAAAATTAATAATAAAATTAACTTACCTTACTCCCATCTGGTTTTCGCATCCGCATAACAGTAGCAACGCGTCCATTATTATTAATACGCTTCCATTTCTATCACGAAAAATAAAGTTAATCTTAAGATTGTTTCGAATAATTTTTATATAGAGCAAAAAACAAACCTTTTGCTCATCGATATTACTATCCGTTACCAACCTCATGTCTTTAGAGAGCTCTACAACCACCTCGCCTTTTTTTGGCCTTTTACGTTTTTTCGTTGAAGGGGGATGTGATGATTGCTCGTTATCTTTTTTCTGAGTTTCCCATTCTTGTTTTAACCTATCAATTTAATCAATTAAAAAAATCGAACATTCAAATGGAAACGAATTTAACAAAAAGATATAGACCTTTGTTTATAATCAGGTTTTGCTTCTTGAATCTTTAGTGTTATTCCGTTCCATTTTGCACCATTAAATATATTCACGCCTGACGAAAATTGCCATTTCATTGTCATTATTATTATTAAATTGTGATTTATACGTAAATTTTTTTATTGATATTTATAATGTTGAAAGATTATAAGCAAATTTACATTAATAAGGAATATTCATTATACTAATTATTATTTAATTTATTACAGAAAAGAAAGATCAATAAATGATTTATATAGCTTACATTTTTTCCAGCTATTCTCTGTAATCTTGAGAGTAACATATGCAAAACCTCGACTTTCACCTACCGTATCAACACAACCACGTAAAAAAAAATACTTCCATAAATGTAATATTTCCGAAAATAACTGACAAACACGTCCTCGAAGTGACAAGAAAATTTTTGCTACCAGTGGCCTGTCGGATAATTTCCACTTCAGTAATTTCACCAAACGTACGAAACCGTTCAGACAAATCCTTTTCGTTAATATCCTTTGAGAGACCTCCAATATATGCACGTTTCAGTGATAGCATAATATGGGTTTGAAATTTGAACTCGAATAAAAAATGTGCACTAATTATATTTTTTAAATCCAATAAATTAATCACATTTCCAAGTGGTGATGATATAAGTCATTTCAACACAATTGTGGGATCCTAAACTTTTCTTTTGATTCTCAATAAATATTATAAATTGTACTTATAAATTAAGTTGTAGTTCATGTCTAAAGCTACAAATTAGTATATAATACTATATGTTGATCTTGAATTGAACTTGAATCAGACTTGAACTCATACAATAATTCAGTTTGAATTCAATTTAAACTTTGAACTTTTCTTGAACTCAAACCAAAGTCCAGTTCAAGTTTGATTCAAATTTTGAATCAGACTAGTTTATAGAAATATTACTTTTATTAATTAAAACAAATTATATTATATAAATAATCATATTAAATTACAAGTACTTTATTAATTAAAACTAATGAAACAACTTGAAATAGCAAATAATTTTGAAAATAAAAAAAAACTGAAAGTTTAATTAATGAATATAATTTTATTAAAAATAATAATAAAAGTGATAGTTTGAAGAAATGAGATAAAAACAAATATTAATTAATAAGAAAACAATATATGATCTGGTGCAAAAATGTTGATACATGAAAAATAAAAGTTAATAATTACTTCTAATAAAAGTCATATAATATATAATTAAGATTTATAATTTTTTTATATTGAGTAAAATATATCTTAATATAACTTTTTATATTATTTTTAGTATTTTTTTATACTTTTATTTAAGAATAAATAAGACAAAACTT